ATTGTTAATATGTCAAGTATCTAAATTATTCTATAAATTTCTCAGCAGTCATTTTCTTTTTAATAGAACATGACATGTTCATTCTAATATTTATGAAGAAATGCCAGCCACCTAGAATAGCCAAAAAAACTTTGAAAAAGAGAAACAACTTGGAAGACTTACAGCATCTGATTTCAAAAATCTTTATAAAACTACAGTAATCAAAGCAGTATGATATTGTATGAGGATAAAAAATGGTGAGTTCAGAAATATACTCACATATGTTGAGTTAATTGATTTTTTGACAAGGAACCAAAGGCAACTGAGTGGAGAACAGATAGTTTTTCAAATATGTTGCTGTAACAATTGAATATCAACAATTTGACTGAATATCAGCAATTCAACTGACTAACAATTGAATAACAAACACCCCACTGCCTACCTTACATTGTATACAAAAATGATTCAAAAGGGATTAAAGACAAAAAAGTATCTAGAAGAAAACATATGAGACATTGGATTAAGTAAAGACTGCTTAGATATAATACCAAAAACATAATTCACAAAATAAAACATCGAAAATTAAACATCAAAATGAAGAACAGCTCTTAGAAAGACACTACTAAGAGAGCGAAAGACAAGTGACGACTGGTAGAAACTATTTGCAAATAATATATCTGATAAAGGATTTATACTTTGAACATAAACACCTTTCAAAACTCCATAAAAATAATATTGGAAAAATATTTTAATAAACATTACATCAGAAAATATATATAATGGCAAATAAGCACATTAAAACACTAAACCTCAATTATTCATTAGGGAAATGGAAAGTAAAACACTGTGAAATACCATTGCACAGCTATTACAAACATCTTGCGTTGAAGCACTGACACCACCAAATGTTGGAGAGGATGAAGAGAAACAGGAACTGTCATATACTGCTGGTAGAAATATAAAAGAGTAAAACTATGTTTTGAAAGAGTTTGGCAATTTCTTAAAAAATTACATAAATTACATGCCATTTAATAGTTGACTTAAAAATGACCCTTCCCAAATGGCCACATGAACAGTATTTGTACACCTGTTTCAAGACCTCTGTTGACATCCACTGCTGCAATGTAAAAAACACATTTCTTTAATAATCTTGCTTAGAAAGTCTGTCATAAATAGTACATTTTATTTCTTTAGACAATGAAAATTATATAATACATATGTTTTTTCTTTTTTACTTTGTAAGGACTCTTGGAACAAAATGTAGTGTTTCATGATTATAAATCTCTTAAGCTGTGGTTTTCATTTATTTACCTGATCCCTCAGCTACATGGCTTCTCATATAAATTTCCGGAAATCCATCCATTCATCCATCCATCCATACACCTATCATGATTGATAGGACGTTCAACTGTTTGGAAATCCAGTAGAGGCAATTATGAAGCCGGTTTACTCTGTACTAGTGGCTTGCCTGACCTCGGTGCGATGGAACACTCAACAAAGTTACATGAACCAAATTTGTTACTTACACATAGAAGGCAAGGGACAACTAAAGCTGGAATTCAGGGCAAGCTCACCCCGCAAAGCTCAGGAAAGCTACCCAGGATGAACAAAGTCTTATCTTCAAGTAATTCACTTGCACCACAGGTGGAAAACAGCGTGTGCTGGGCTTTATACCCCAGTGGACACATGACACCTTGGGCAAAAGTGATGAAGGACACTCTGTTTCTAGGGCCAACTGAAATAGAGCCTGGACTGTTCCAGCCACCTCTTGTTTATCTCACAATGTTCCATTCCCAGCACATCCTACAGGTATTCTTGAGAATTACAAGTGAGAAAGTGGGGAGAATTGGGTTGGCCCACTTCCATTCAGATTTCCTGCAGAAATCTTTAGAGGTGTCTATTTTAGCATTACTCATATCATCACACATCAGTGTCCATAGCTCCACCATTTCTATCGAAGCTCACTCTGAGGTAAGACAGCCAGGATTTTAATAGAGAATGGACATACCTTAGCTTGGTTTGAGAGAATAACTGTAGTTGGGCAACTAAATAGTTTCCCCTGCTTGCCTTCTGCTTGGACAGAGGCCTTGCTCATTAGTAGGTAATTTATATACATGTAATCTGGAAAACCGTGATGCAGTTGAAGCATAAGTTATGATTTGACTAGCCATAAAAGAAAAGAGGAGTATTCTCCTAATCACCTTTACCTTTAGAAAGTCTGAAAAATGGGCGATTAGTCTAAATAACTGAACTACTTGTTTTACTTAAGTCTTTAAAAATCATTTTATGCTGTAAAAATATATTGCTTTTAATGCATATCATTTTTTTCTTCATGTGAGTTGGTAAAAGAAGCAGGAAAATAATCTAAGATGTATCTATTAAACAAAAATGTTTTTCTGCAATTCCTGAGAGATCCATGATCCAGAGTCAAAGCGGGGAGCTTTGGAGCAAGTGGAGAGCCAAGAAAAGGATCCAGAACTGGGGCGGAAGGTGGAAAGGGTCTTTGAGTGCAGCTGCACTGCGTGGGAAGACATACTTGATAACCAGCAAACAGCTGTTTGAATCAGTGAAACCTCACTAAAGGGAGACCATTGCTGATGGGAGAGGCCACGGCTACAGTATCTTGGGTAGAGGTTTAGTCATGAGGATTAAAATGCTTACACAGAAATCTCTGGGTTCAGGCTCAAAGAATTGGAGACTGGCAGCTACAAATATAGCAAGTGTGTTTCTTCTGGCTCTCAAAATACACTCTTAGCACTTTTGAAGTGACTGATAGTATATGAACATCATACAATATTGTATACAGTCACTAATCTGAATTTAGTATTCAAGAAGGATGAGGCATACAATGATGATCAATTATAATATTCTTGATATTCATGATTTTGAAATCAAAATAGCTATACAATTTGCAAGGAAAGAGCCCATGTGTTTCAGGCCAGTGACAGTGGCTATGCTTCTTTCATCTGTGAGAGGCACTAAACTGAGTGGGACGGAGCTAAACAGCCTAAGAGGCTTGATGGCAAGGATTCAATTTTTTTTTCCCACCAAGACGGAGTCTCGTTGTGTTGCTCAGGCTGTAGTGTGGTGGCATGATCTTGGCTCACTGCAACTTCCACCTCCTGAGTTCAAGCAATTCTCCCTGCCTCAGCCTCTGGAGTAGCCGGGATTACAGGTGCCTGCCACCACCCCGGCTAAATTTGTATTTTTTAGTAGAGATGGTGTTTCGCTATATTGGCCAGGCTGGTCTTAAACTCCGGACCTCAAGTGATCCACCTGTCTTGGCCTCCCAAAGTGCTGGGATTACAGGCGTGAGCCACTGCGCCTGCCCTGCAGGGATTCAATTTTTAAGCCATTATCAGGATTTGTTGATCTGGTTTTGAGGTTTTTTTTTTTTGTTTTTTTTTTTTTTTTTTTTTTAATGTGACAATCAGATTTAATCAGAAGCTACTGCCCACAAATTAGGAATTTTAGAGATTTACATAAATTTAATTGAAGGAGACGGCAGTTTTAGATAATTTTCTGAATCTTTATCAGGGACTTCTTCCTGTAGTTTGGAAAATCCTAATAAATGATTTCAGATATTCCTCAAAGTAACACAGAGGATTCAAATAGTTGTTCAGATGATTTAAACGTTGTGATTTTACTCTGTTACCTAACATTTTAAATTATTTCTATTGTTTCTTCTCCTTTAACTTCGAAACAGTGGCAACAGTGACTTCTAAAAACTGAATATTGTTGACTCCTTTCTCTGATCCACCCACTGGGTTCAGTATTTAAAAAACACTAATTATATAGTCAGATAATCTTTGTTGGTCTTTAGTGTTTATTGAAATATTTATTAAAATATTTTCTCTATTTACTCTGATCTTTTTGTCTTTTTTTCTCTTCATTCAGAATCATTATCTTCTACCTGTTCTCTAAGACAGTAATTTGATTTTTGACAGTGGCTATCCCAACCCTTGCTTTTATAATTGATCTATTTGGACTGTAGTGGTGCTTTTAAATTCTCAATTTACTGTCTGTCTCATTCTTTAAAAAAAAAATCACATGTTTGGATTCTAGTTTTTCTTGAATTCATATGCTTATCAAATTCTTTTATAACTTGAACTCCTCAAAGGCAAGTTGTCTTCTAAACCCTGGGTAGTTTTTCTTTACATTGGTTTCCTCCTATATTTTCCTTTATTTGTATTTCTTTTTCTTTTTTCTATTCTGATTCCTATTTCTTTTATTCTCTTTCCTTTCCTTTCTTCTCAGTTTAAAATATATATAAACATATTTGCTATTCTTTTAATCTAGTATATTTTAAGAGTAGGAATTCTTCAGACCAGCTGTTAGCTCTGACATAGGGGGATGAATATTTTTGACACTGTTACCACTAGCGATGATACTGAAAAGACAATTTCATCTTTTTTTTTTTTACTAGACTGAATATAAGTTTCTGCCATCAGACAAAATATCCCTGAATCTACTTTTTAAGTTCCTCTTAAGAACTTTTCAAAATTCCTCTGTAGCTCAAAGCATCAAAGGAAGAACCAATTTTAATTTGACTTTGCTTTAGATGAATTACCCATCTTCCTAGTTTCTTACTTTCTATAACCAGTTGCTGTCTCTCCCACATTCCTCTTTAGAACAGCTGCTCTCTAGCCTACTTCACTGACAGCACCAGCAAAGTGAATAGGTCAGAGAACAGAGGTGAGGAAGCCAGCAGTGGGGGTTGTACCTCCCTATGGAGCCAATTAATGACACACAGGCTCAATCCACCATCCTCTACTTTTCTCTCCAAACTCAAATACTTTCTGAACTTCAGCTGTCATCATCCTACTAATTACACCTACTTTTACAACTGTAGCTATAATGTCATTATGAGAGTAGCTCATCTTCACATGTGAGCTCTTTTCATAGAATCAAAGATTATTGCAGGCAGAAGCTGAGTCCACTGTGCCTCATCCCCATCTTTGCATAGCAAGAGTGACCTTTACTCCACTTGCCAACAAGTTCCTCATCTCCATCTGTGACCACCTCAGCCTGGACTTCATTGTCCATATCACTGTCAGCATTTTGGTCAAAGCCGTTCAACAAATCTCTAGGAAGCTCCAAACCTTACCACATCTTCCTGTCTTCTGAGCCCTCCAAGTCTTTAGGAAGTTCCAAACTTTCCCACATTTTCCTGTCTTCTTCTGAGCCCTCCGAACTGTTCACCCCTCTGCCTGTTACCCAGTTCTAAAGTTGCTTCCACATTTTCAGATGCGCTCATGTCACTGAAGCTTACACAGTGTTGGGAAGAAAAGTACAAAATGAGACTGAACAAATACACAGGAAGATCAACTATTCAGGACTTAAAGATCATGTTAAAATATGTTTTTTAATTTTAAATTTTATTCTAAAATAAATACAAAGTCATATTTAAAAGGTCTTCTAGGACATTTTAAATGGCATATCTTTCAATGGAGTCAGGAACTAACATAAAACTTGTTTTTTCTCTCTAGGACTGTGGTCAACATAGTCTGAACACGCCAAGTAACCAAAGACTTGGGAAGGCTTGGGTGTATTCAGTATTACAAAGATGTGAAAAGAAACAAACTGGGTCTGTGATTCATTTCTTTTGGATCTCAGAATAGCATTCTTTGTATTAGGTCTTTATCCCAATTGCTGCACGGCTTGGTGATCTGTATATAAGGGATATTGAACATTGATTAGGCCAGTGAAAGATAAATCTTGTTAAAGGTTGTTAAGATGAACAAAGTTAAAAAGGTAAAATTTTTAATCATGAAATTAGAGAGGTACTTTTTCTTACCCATCTCAGAAGCAGTGGAGCCAAGCAGTTACATTCCCTATTACATTTGGCATCCTGGATGTAGTACCTTTCCAAGAGCTATTTACAGCATGACCAAAAAGAGCCAGCTTGTGACTAATTCACAATATTTTAAAGAGAACTAATATATATTTTAGTTTTAGCAAAAATAGAAAACATGGAAAATCTGGTCCAACTGATTTTCCATTTTTTTCCAGGAACAATTAACCGTAAACTGTTGTATAGCTTTTAGGGCAGTACCCAAGGGTCAAGTGATTCTCTTCAAATTGAAAGCATATCATTCTTTTCAACATCATTGGTACCACAGCCAAGTTTCTGGGCTTATGTCACTTAGCCTAAAGTTCCAAGAGGGGTTGATTTCACTTCAAGCATGTTCTTGATATTTCTTCTGGGCAACCAGTGTGGTATGATTAGATTGACTCTCTGTAAATACACTAGAGAATTATTGTGGAACCCAAGTCTGTTACTGAAATGAAGCATTTGCTTCTAATCAGGTTCTCACATCATTCAGTACACAACTAGCCCTTCCCCTAGTTGTTGTTTTTTAATACAGATTTGCAATGATTTCCTACCTGACATCCTGTGAGAGTAATTTTCCGGAGTTCGTATACTTGCCATGCCTTGAAAAGTGGTATTTTCCCATTGACAAAAATGCATGTAAATGCATTTGATTGACCTGTTGAAATTTCAAAGTTTAGAGTCATATTAATATGGCATTTTCCCTTAAATTTCCCAAGCATCATGGCACTTGTGCATTTATTTGCATTTGTTTATGTAGCACTTACATACTCTGAAGTGTGTTCTTTCTGATTATTCCTGCCTGTGGTGTAATTTTCTCACTCTGTCTCCAAAATAATTAGACCAGAAATGTGAAGGAAGGAGGAAATGTGATGCTCTTTTTTTTTTTTTTTTTTTTTTTTTGCTTTAGCTGCGAAGGAGGTACGGAAGAAGATCATGGAAAGTTGGACAGAGCACAGACGAGTGCAGTAAAGAATGAAAACCTGTATTCACAAACCATATGGATCTAGGAGTAAAAATGGTATTGATGATTATTATTTTGGCTCTTGTAATCTGCTATTATGGAACCTGAATACCTTTCTTTGAGACAGGGTCTTGCTCTGTTGCCTAGGTTGGAGTTTCGTGTGATCATGGCTCACTGGAGCCTCACATTCCTGGGCTCCAGCCTGACTCAGCCTCCAAAATAGATGGGACTACAGGCATATATCACCACCATGCCTAGGTAACTTTTTTTAACTTTTATTTTGTAGAGACAGAGTCTTGCTATGTTGCCCAGGCTTGTCTTGAACTCCTGGCTTCAAGTGATCCTCCCACCTCAGCCTCTCAAAGTGCTGACATTACAGGCATGAGCCACAGCACCCAGCCATAAATATCTTTTATGAAGTGCACAAAATATTTGTAGAGCACACTGAGGTAAATCTGGAAAAGATTTGAAGGCATTTATGTAGTGTTTGGTGACATATAATTATAAAAACTAAAATGTAAAAGTTTAAATGTAGATTTTACCAAAATGTAGATTTTGAAGAAATTGAACTTGCTTCAATTTCTTCAAATTTCTATTTTATAGAGTTACACATAATTTCTATTTCAGTGATTATCTGTCCAAAATTCCAATAGATGCCATCATCAATAAACTGTTTACTCAAATAGTCAATAAAGAATATTTTTACAACCATTTAAAGACTTTGACAATTGAATTATATTTTATGTTTTATTATAATTTTCCCCCTTTCATTAACAAATGTAATATTAAAGACTCTTGCAATAATGTAAGTTGATTTTGGATTCCAATTTGCCTTTGTCACATCAAGAATTTCAAACTGATAAATTTTTGAACAATAATCTGTAATTATTATGCATACGTTATAAGAGCAATCACCCTACAGCAATCTTGGATGCCTTTAAATGGTAAATTAGCCAAAATGCAAAGATGAATATTTGGGAAAATCTTTTGCAACATTAATTACAGGAGGCCAGAAGAGGTTCCCATCTTTCCCTACCCTCCACACTAGCACTCTCTGGACATCTGAAACAGGACTTTCTCCAGCAGCTCCCTGACACCCTGTGTACAGTGGCAGCGCTGGGCAGCAGGTGTTGAAGTGGGTGCCCTGGCAGAACAGCACCTCCTTGGCTCACTCAGAGCAGAGAAGCAAGTGCTGGATTCTGCTCCCATTTTGCTGTCAGCAGTTATCACTAGAAACCACCTTTAAAGCCACTTCTCCTGGGGTGACCTCCTAGGGTCTTCTAAGTAGGCTCCTGGTAATAAAAAAATTTTGCCTCACTTCCTATACCCCTAGGTCCTGGCTTGGCCACTAAGGGCTGAGTGGAGCATTTCCTTGTAATTTATTTGCATGAGTGTGTGTGGTAAAGTTTAGGGATTGGGCCAGTTCCTTCTTGTAACTAGTAGTACCTTCTCTGTGGATGGAAGTAAGAGGGCTCCTAGGCAAGGTGCCTACAAAGTTATCCCAGTTCCTTTGAGAGTGTAGAGAATATTCTCAGAATAAACAATGGGAAATTGAAGTCAGATCAAGGACAAAAGTTACAGGAAAAAGTTTGAATTGCAGGGCTCTAAGCAACAAGATGCTTCATCTTCTATATCCCATGAATACTACCATTCTCTACAGTAATAGAAAAGAACTTGTCAGCTTCTGCACCCATCTCTTTCTGTATTTTTTGAGTTATTCAGTATTTCCATGTTTTGCTGAGGGTCAAGGTGAAAGTCATTTCACACCCAGACACCCCTGCATTCCAACTCTGCACGCTCCTCCATTCCCCAGTGCGCTGTTTACACTGCAGCGACTGATCTTTTACAAATACAGACCAGATCAAAACTTTGCAAATACAGACCAAATTAAAACAGCTGGCTGAAAACTTTTCATATCTCACTATTTTTCTTAGGAAAAAGATCGAAAATGCTTACTATGGCTTTAAAGTTTTTATGTTTTAGTTTCCACTTAATTCTCCAGCCTTAAAATATTCTACTTCTCTGGCTGTGCAGCCACGGTTGACCTCTGTCATGTCCTTGCACATGGCCTGTGCCCTTCTTTTCTGCCCAGTCTGCAACACACATTCACCTTTCAGAGCTCAGAACATATGCCATCTAGAAAAATCCTCAATCCAGTCAGGCTCTGCTGTTTTATATTTGCAAGACATCATATGCCTTTCCTCTGGGAAACATCACAGTTTGTAATCATACACTCATATGTGCCATGATTTGTTTAATCTCTCTTGCTCCCTACTGTAAGCTGCATGAGAGCAAAAAATTTGCCTCTTTTTGTTACTTATTCTAGATTGAGAACTGATGCTTAGTAAGCACCTGCCAATGGCTGATGAGTGTTGCTAAATATCTGAAAATATGGGTTCATAAAACTTTACCAAACCCAAATCATTATATGAATAATTTAGATACCATAGAAGTCTTCTGAGAAGACATAATGCAAGTAGAATAAAATATACTTAATGCCTATTGAAAAAACTTCAGGCAACAGCTTTCTGTTTTTGGTTTAAATTTTTTTAAGGGAAAATTAAAACTATTGCTTAAGTAATTCAGGTCACAGATTTTTTTAAAAAGTGCCAAATTCCACTTTTATGTGAGATTGATAATGACAGGTGGGAGTGAATGTGTTCTATATGACCTGAATAATTGTGTCTGTTATCCCTTTAGTGTGTGGTTGTCCATGTAATGGTCTGTTTGTGTGTTTGTTGTTTTACATGTGCCTGAATGTTTAGATAATCCTCCGGGATGTCTGAATGTAATTAAAGTATGACATAAGCATTTTTAAAATTAAAAATGAAACAATTCAATCTATGCTTTCTTAACAACCTGTTCCATGTTAACAAGATTACAATTAAGGATGTGAAGGATATGAAGAGTCCTTAAGTTGAGATCTATCAAGCTTAGTAGGCACGTAACCTGGCTGACAGGCTGGGTTGACTGCAGGCTTAAGTTGAACATGGGACAAGGATTGTGCTCTCTCCTTTTCCATAGTGTTTGGGCCTTTGGTGAGGACAGTGATCCCTGATACCGTCTGATTGCCTTGATCTGCTTTTTATCATTGTTAACACAGGCAAGAGGAAGGGAGAGTAACTCATATTTGAAAGACCAGTTCAAAATTAGAACAGATATCTATTACAAATGATTCGGCCTCAGGGGATTGGAGAAAGATGCAGAGATGAAGGAAACATAAAACCAAAGGAAACAAGGCATCTGGAGAACCAGGAACTCTCTGGACAAAAGTATGAAAGCAGAAACTAAACATTAGTTTAAGGGCTTGGATGGTCCAAAGCAATAAAACGTAACTACCTTGAGAAAAGAGAGAAAGAAAAAAATGTGATAATATCTAGGTCCAGGTTAAAATATCAGACTATGCTCATGTGGCTCAGATGAAAGTTGGAGATGAAAAATATTTTGTCAGAAGCTTATAGATGTGAAAGGCTGTGGTGGTGATGAGCTTCCTCTTTCAGCCTAGCTTTGTGTTCAGCTGATTCAGTAAAATCAGTGCTTGGGGCAAAGCCTTATTGGCAAACCAGAAAATGGGGCATTTTGAGGGCGACTTCTAATTGGTCTGCATCCCCACAGTTCAGGCCCCAAACTGCTTAGAAGGTATTTTTGAGTTTTGAGTGATGATCAAAAGATATCAACTGTATGAGAACTGAAGCTTACTTTCTAGGAGTTCAGTAGTGGGATGAAGAAGTTGCTTAATAGAGTTGCAGTTAGAGAAATATTAGAAGGCATAATTCAAGAGATGGCGAAATTGTATAAGTCTGACCTTTGGTGATGATTCCTCTCTGAAAATGGTTTCAATCAAGGACAGCAAAGACAACTGTGGTGGCCCAGGAAGCAGAGAATTGCTGGAAAAGAAAAAGAAAAGAGGCATCTTGTTTGATGTTATAGACGGGAGGGAGCTCCAGGTTTTCCAGTAGTCTGATAGGAGAGGGCATTTTATTTGAAAAAAATTGTGAAGGCGTTTTAAAGGAGAATCCCCCCCCAGTTCACCGTTATATTGAACGGGGACTTTTTGAGTTCCTCTATGTCAGCCTGTGTGTTGGTTGCTTTCACAGGGATTTCCTCATGAAACGAATTTACTGCTTAGCATACTCTTTCATTAAAACACCACATAAACATTTTTAACAAGTTAGAGATTTTGGCAAGCACCTTGTCTGATGACAGAGGCTTTATGCTGTTAGGTCATGGTAAACTGTTAAATATATTAAATGAACACGTTCATAGCAGTTTACTCATTCCTTCATTCCCTGACTCATCAAATATTTATTGAACCCAAACGTTAAGAGCCAGGAAGTATTTTTCACATTAGAAATTTCAAAGTGATTGAAACAAGCAGAGAGGGGGCCCTTAGGTTGGAGGAAATTATTTTCAGGATGGTTTTCTACAGTAGGTGATGCTGAGGGCGGGGAGTGTTGGAAGTGGTCTAGGAGAATGGAAGAATAAACAGAAGGTATGAAACGGCAAAAGGCCAGCCTTTTGCATTCCAGTATAGTGTTAGTCGTAGGCTGCAGGGCTCTCCTTGAAGGCATAGGTGTTTAACTTTCGGAGAGCTGACACCTGTAAGCTGAGGGCAAGTCTTTGGAGAAGGGGAGCTGCTGGAAACCTTTTGTAGCCAATGCTCATAGAAGCTGGGGATGGTGCATTGGCCCAGCACAGGGATCTGAGTGGTGCACCAAAACAGCAACGGCCAACCACAAGAGTGATTGGAAGATGAATAATAAAGATATCAATGGTGATTCCTCTTTCACAAAGCTTGAATAGGGATATTTCCCAGGCAACATCCTTAGCCCTGTGCTCACAATTGCTATTTCTCTTTAAGCAAAGTTCACTCTCCTCTGCTGCAACTCATCACTACCTTCTGATGTCCTCATGACTTCCTCAACCATGGATCCTGCCAGGCTTTCTCCAAATAAACATTTGTTTAAAGGATAAATGTACTAGGAATTCTCTGACTTAAGAAGGAAGAAAAATACATTACAGGCAGAGAAAAGAGTTGTTCTAAGGCATGTTTACAAACTAGGACAAGGAATTTATGTCATAGTGGAAGTTCAGGTCTGTTCAGGATGAAAAACAAGTGAAAATGTGCTGGTTTTATCTGATAATAATGCTAAACATATTTTTTTTCCTAAATCAAAACAGTTATCTTTGTTCAGCTCAAAACAGACTCCCAGGATTGCTCCCCTCTTTACCTATTGTTTCCAAGAGAGAAAATCTGATGTGTTTAATCGATGGACTGAAAATGACGTTTCCCTTTTCTTCCCCAGGTTGCTGCTCTTTCTGAATGTCAGGGCAAAAGACAAGTCAGGCTTGGAAGGGTGTCCTAACATTTGCAAATGTCCATTTTTCTGTCCAAGCACAGAGAAGGTAAAGAGCCAAGAGGAAATGGTTAGAACGGTAATCTTGGCAAGAATTTTACTCCAGAAAGAGGAAAGAATCTTCAGAAAAGGACAAAAGTGCAAAAAGGCTTTTCTGAAAAAAAAAAAAAAAAAGAAAAAGAAAAAGAAAATGGTAAAGGGCAATCCAGCTTAAAAATCTTTGATGATAAGGAATTCTCCAGGGATAGACAGCTAGAGAAAACATTCGACTGAGCTTCAGAAACAAGCCCTCTGGAAACTGAAGGACAAAACACTGGCTGAACATTCCTGGCAGTGAGCTACAGATGACATAACATAGCACCTACATCTCCTTAGCAATTTGTTCTATTTTGCGCTACATTAACAATTCACAATAAGAAGAGTGGAAAGTGTTAAGAAACTACCATGTTGTGCCTCTGACACCCCAGATACCATGCGAACTGTTTCCTATATCCTACTTCATTTGATCCTCAGACTGTCTTGCTATCTTCTTTATAAAAATGAGGAAACCAGGGCTCAGAATTCAATAATTTCCCCAATTTCATATATTTATTGAATGTCATGTGCTTCCATCTGTGCTTAAATGTAATTAAGTGTACCTAAAGGCGAATATCCTTCTCCATTTCTCACATATCCAGGATTTTAGGGATGATAGGATTTCTCCAAGTTATGGTTGGTGATAAAAAAGGGTAGTTTGAGGATAGAGCAAGTATCATGTAAGGTACACTGCTCAGAGTCTATGCCCACCTTATTCAGGGCACTCTAACAATAAACACAGGCCTTTTGGCCTGGTGGGCTAGGTAGTCCCCGTGACAGCCAGCCTCCTCATTTGGTTTTCTGTGGAGTAGGAGGGAAATTGAATATACATCTTTCTCTTTCTTCCAACAACAAATCTTAAGTGATTATTGCTAGTTATAGCAACAATGGTTTCTGGTAGAAGAATAAATGGAAAACAATGTTTGATTTATTTGAATAGTTAGTTCCATGTTTTTTTTTTTGAAAGTTTTGAGAGTTACTTGTTTTTTATTTCTTTTGACTTCAAATTGAGAGGCATATTTCTACTTCTTTTGACTTTTAAAGTTTAAAATTCTTCTACCTTTTGTGACATAGAGATTTAATATAATTACCTAATGATGTATTTACCTGTTTATGGTATTTCAACAGCTGTTGGTGTGATGGTTTCTGTGAATTGGTAGAAAGAATTTGAACCAGTAGTTGTAACTTCTCAAAAATTCTCTTAGCTTGGGCTGCTATAACAAAATGCTATAGACTGAGTAATCTATCAATGACAGAAATTTATTTCCTGTATTTTTGGAGGATGGGGAGTCCAAGGTCAAGGCACCAGCTGATTCAGCATCTGGTGAGGACTTGCTGTGCTTTAGAGATGGCACCTACTTGCTGCGTCTTCACATGGCAGAAGGTGGCAGATGCTGTGTCTTCACACGGTGAAAGGGACAAACGTGCTCCCTTCACCTCCTTTCATATTAGCATAAATCTCATTCATGAGGCCCTTGTGATTTAATAATTTCCCCAAGGTCCCACCTCTTAAAACTATTGCATTGTGGGTTCAGTTTCAACATATAAATTTGAAGGGACATGAACATTCAGACCATAGCACCCTCCTTATTTCACTTAGGAGTATATCAAGCGTATTCAGCAAGAGAAGCTGAAGAGGATTTTTCCCACTTGTTGCTTCATTGCAGGCGATCCATATGATCTGGGCATCCCTCTTCTTGAGTGGACTGTGGCTATTGGAGGATGCATTGATAGTGGCTTCTCCTGGACCATGGCATGACTGCACAGGTTTTGTCAAGACTCCTGCCTGGAAGATTCAGAGGAGCAAGTTTGGTCTCAGCAGGATGCATTATTATGGCCACCAGAGCCTCTGTTTGTAATCGAGGTTTATTCTCCTACAGTGCCCCTGAAGTTCCTGTTTTTTAGGGGAGAGTCTGCTTGGCCCGTGTCTCTCCCTGAGTGTTACACTTATCTCTCATTTGCCTGTTTATTTTCCAAATCTTCTTTGAGGTGCTGTTATCTTACCTAGGGATAAAAAACTTACTTAGGGAGAAAAATGTTATATTAATCCTGGAAATAAAAACATTTTCAACTTTAGGCTTAAAAGTTATAATTTGCTGCACATTTTAAAGTAAAACACATACAACATCTAATGTAAATTGATTTGGTATGACTTTAGTGTTAGCCTTCACCAATATTCTGTATGTAATTCTGAATGTTTAGGTTGTCAGTGCTATCCTTTCCTCATTTCCTTGGGTGAGATAATTATGGTGGGAACTGGAAGAAATAGTCCACCTGGCTTTCTCTGAAAGCAGAGAACTGATTATCTTGGCATAATCAGTTCTTCATGATTGGATCCCTGCCTCATTGTTTGTATAATAGTCTCTGTTTTATGATACAGCCAGTGACTCCCAGGCTCTGTCTCTGTTTTCTGGCTTATCTCACCACTTCTCACCTGTCCAGTCCAACCTTCAGGACTCAACTTTGATAATTCCTTTCCCACGACTGTATGACACATCTCACTCTTTTTTCTTTGTTTTTTTTTCGGACAGGGTCTCCCTTTGTCGCCCAGGCTGTAGTACAGCGGTGTGATCATGATTCATTGCAGCCTCGACCTCCCAAGCTCAAGCAATCTTACAACCTCTGTTTTCTGAGTAGCAGGGACCACAGCCATGTGCCACCACCCCTACCTAATGCTTTTTTTTTACAATTTTAAATTAATTCATTAATTAATTTTTGTAGAAACAAGATCTCTCCATATTACCCAGGATGGTCTTGATCTCGTGGGCTCCAGCGATCCTCCCACCTTAGCCTCCCAAAGTGCCGGGATTATAGGTGTGAGCCCTTTCCAGCACACATCCCACTCTGAATTCCTCATTAGGTTCATCTAGTGTGTGTTCCTCTCCATTGTGACACCCCTGGTGATAGTTCTTAGACATTATGACTTGTCAGGCACAAATAAGAAAAAGTCAGCACTCACTCTGGTACCAGATACTCACAAACTATTTTTGTTGTTGCTGTCGTTCTGGCTTATTTCCATTCCTTAATCACAAGGAATGGAATGCCATCTTACCTTGGTAAATGACAGCAGAGACTGATTTATAGCACTGTCATGTCACTTGCATGAGTTGTATTTGTAATGGGGTTTCCTGGTCTCAGTGTATTTCCAGTTCTGTTGCATCTGTTTAGGTATTTGTTTGCATGTGTACTGTTCATTGGGGCTGCACTCAGGGTTAATGCTGAGTATATTGAAGATAGTAACTAAGTTCTAGGCTTATATTGCTGATCATTCTGATAGATGTATTGGTATGCAATTGACTGGTTGTAAAGACGTTACACAGAGATGTAACTATGAGCCTTTGACTAATAGAAGAATGAAGAAACATGATGGAGATATAGTGCTCTGTAAACTTATGAATGGTTTGTACATTTCTAACTTGGTTAATGCAGTCTTTCATTAAATTATTCAATAATCACTGGGCACATTTGATGTACTGAGCCTCTTTTAAGAGGGAGGATGAAAGTCAAATTAATAGACAGTTTCTTTCCTCAAATATCTGGAGGTCTAATGGAAGAGGAAGATATTATTTCAGTTAGGTGGAGAGGCTTGATTCCCATTTTACTATGTATTCTAACACTTGTAGAAAGCATGCTTGCTCTTCAGATTTAGGCTTCTTGAAAGGTAGGGAGGGCATGCTATTGGAGAATTCAGGAACTAGCAATACTTAGAACAGGCATTCAGGAAAGGGCTTTCAGTTTGGGGTGGAGAAAGAGATTGAAAAGACTCGCCAATTCCCAGAATTAGAAAGATCAGATTACCGGTGTTATTAGCAAGCTATTAATTGAGGTGGAGAAAACAAGGCAGAAGTTTACATAGCACAACAGATGCACTAATAGTTGGGCCAAAGGCAGGAAAAACTTGTTGCTGACATCATGTAGTATTTGACAGTTTATAACCTGTCAACTGTATCTTTACTTATAAGCTGTCTTAATTTAGAACTTATGCAAAATAATTTCTTTTTAGAAAAATATTTTATTGCATTTTAGGTTTTGGGGTATATGTGAAGAACATGCAAGATTGTTGCATAGGTACCTACATGGCAATGTGGTTTGCTGCCTTCCTCCCCAAGCAAAATAATTTCTTAATACATTCTTAATATATTTTCACCTTAAAATTTTTATTTGAGTTTTACTACCATTTTCAAGTAGCAGAAGCAATTATTGTAATTATTTACTCAGTGCTTAATCTTGGGATGAGTCCCCTTGGGGACTTATATGGCTTAATATAGTCAAAGTTACACTTTTGCTGCCACGAGTGGGTACAGACCTTATCTTTAAGGAAGCAACGTCATGTAATCTGTTAATGCCCTGCTTTTATTCACTTTATATGACCACAATATACAATCAGAAAACATGTACCACTGCTTCACAGAAATTGCAAGACAGAAATGGACAACAAAATTTGAGGAGTTTATAGCTTTATGCTAGTCATGCTAGACTTACTGAGATTTTGGCAGGACAACTGATTGATTTATTGACCCACTCTTTCTTCAAATATTTATTGAATGTCAGATAGGGACATTGTGCCAGGAATATGGCCCATTTTTATTCAAAAGTAGGACAATGTTTATGCATTAATCTAGTTTTTATCTAATAATTCCATGAAGAACCACATAAGTTACCGTGAAAATGACTTAATAGGATTTTAGAGAAATTTGGGGGGTTGAGGGTGAATGGAAATATGAGAAAAAGGGAGAACAGCATACCAAAAGGATATTATGGTCTCATTTGACTGAATACTTAAAATAATTCCATAACCATAGAATTATGAAATATTTATGGGTACCTACTATGTGCAAATTACGAATCACTATATTAGGCACACAAAGCACATTAAATCTAGTGAGTTGCATTAAACATATACATAAATAAATATAACATAAGACAAAGTTTATCAAGTGTCTAGGAGTTATTTGTAAGAGTACATTTTTAGCTGTTCAGGTATTTGGAGGCCCAGTGGAGATGTCGTTTGTATTAGTCCTTAATTACTGGGTAGTTTTGGGATCCACAGATATAGAAAGAAAGAGAATTACAAGTGAAAGGAGCTGTAAGCAAAATCATGAAGACAATAAATAAAGGACACACATAGGACACAATTTGTTCTACTTGGCTAGAGTGGAGGAAATAAAGTTAGAAATTCAAACTGGGGTCATCTTTAATGTCAGACTGAAGAGTTTGACCTTTACTTAATAGGCAATGAAAAGTGTTGCCTATCAATGTCAACACGTAATTTGTGTCTGGATGACGCAGTAGGACTTTATCATTCTATGTCATCACGACCTCTGAAATCCAACCTTTGGTCAGGAGCATATGTTGATGTCTACAGACTTTAGGATTAACTTCCAAGGGAAATTTATATCAAAGCTTTAGATTTGATTCTTTTGAGAATTTTTATTTGAGGGAATATAAAATCTGATGTATTGTGTGTTGACTACAAATTTTAAAATAAATGGTGGAATGCTTTTGGTTTGCCAATGCTGAAAAGTAAAATAATGACACATTAAGTAATGGAAATGTGGGAATTAAAACTTTCACAGAAAGAGCAAACAAACTCATCATTTCTTTCCTTATCTCTGTTTCTGTGTCAGGCCCCCTTCCTGGCTCATGTCTTGTCCTCCAAGATGTCCTCAGTTGCCTCTATTTCAGAGCCTTTTGTTTCCATGAGGGGTGAGACACCATTTTGGAACTTAATAAGACATGCTTGGCCTCAGTGTCTGAAAATAATTGGAGTAATTTTATTTGGTTTCTTCTAGGAGGAGAATCTAGAAGGTTCAGAAGTTGACCTGTTCTTTTCTTACCTTTCTGTCGGCCTTACCTTATTCCAAGTCCGTCCTGCTGGGGTTATGACCTTTCATGTGTTTTTCACTGTGTGGTGCTCCAATAATCCACCAATTTTGCAAATTCTCATCCTTGAATTTAGGATGCTTTCACATTTTTCTCAGAAAAAAGTTTTACCAGCTAACAGTCTGACTTAACTGAGTTCCATATATAAATTTAAACAGGAAGGAGAGGGAGAAAAATATGCAGGAATGAAAACAAATATTTGAATGCAGTGGAATAGCTTGAAGCACAAATCCAAGATATGTCAAGTTATAGTGATTTCTAAAAAGATCTTCAAATTTCAGAATACTTTATGATATTTTCTGCCCAAAACTCCAGGTTTGCGTCAATGTCTTTCACCATTTTATGGCTTGTAGCGGTGTATTGTCGTCTATAAATTTAATATGTTGTCCATGTTACCAATCCTGTACCCCGAGATAAATTCCCAGACCACATTAGCACACTGATACCAGCACATTAAATGCCTCTCCCTGATTTTTCATGCCCTTCCAGCCATCATGTAAGCCAATACAAAATACCTTTTATGTTTTAAGCATACTAGATACTCAATGGCACCACTTTTCAGACTTTATTGTGATAAAAATAAACTGGAGATATATTATGATGCAGATTCTGAGGTTTGGGTTGGAACCTGAAGGTCTACATTTATAATAGGCTCACAGCTATGTTGGTAGAGGGACTACACTTGGGTAGCAAAGCTATTTGGGATTCTCTTTCATAAAGAACTACTAATATAATGGGGTCATTAAGCACATCATCAAATATAAGGCAATCTGAACACAGTCATACACCTATATCACTGAGAATAGAAAGGAAGAAGGGATTCATTTTGTGGAGAGCCAGAGAAATTCAAAAAGTTTCATAGAAGGGGAAACTTATTAAACTGGGCCTTGGAAGATGTGAAGATTTGAGCAGGCATGGAAGATTTTCCAGATGGAAGGACTACTTGTTAAAATCAATGGGCTCCATAGACCCAGATGGCTGGGACTTAGGGTGCACACTAAAGAGGTTGGAGATAGGACTGAAAAGAGAGTTGCCTTAATTAGTGTAGTTCTTCCAGGATACACTTAGAAACACATTCAGGAATTTTGTGAGAGATGGGAGATGAACATTAAATCACACACACACACACACACACACACGCGCACACACACACACACACACACACACGATCCTGGTCAAAGTTGCTATATTGCTTGCTCACAAATTAATTTTATTTTCAGAAAAAAGCAGTCAATTTTAACAGGGAATTTTTGTCTTTAAGCCATGTTTTAACTTTATAACTTGGAGTTTTTAAAGAAACTGTAAATAACACACTTTGAAGAACTTCCATGAGCATCACTCTGAAAAACATACATAAGCTTTTCGAGATTTTTCTAGCAAGCTGCTTCAAATCTGCTCTACTTTCCTCCCTCCTTAGAATGTAGTTGCTTTGTAAGTAGGGCCCCATGTTTACAGATAAGGTCTGCATTTTTGGATATGGAATGAACAATCCTTTATGATTTGGCTCCAACTTATCTTTCTAGCATATTGCTGACTGTATTTCCCTTCAACACTCTCCTTTGCCAACTAAGTGGAATATTTATCTTTTATTAATTGAAAAATAAATGCATGGAATACTTTCTATGTGCTAGAATATGTGTTTGACTCTAGGGATGTAGTTTTGAACTCAGCAGATATGGAACCTGGTTTAAAGGAGCTCATATTCTCATGGCACTGATAGATACTTACAAGTAAATGCAATACATTGTGATGAGTATAGAAAAGAAGAAAAAGTTACAGGGATCTTACTTACAGTGGGAGTCAGTGTACACATTCCTGAAGAATGATGTTTGAACTTCTGAAAAAACAAAGGGAGTTTTTCAGAGGTTGGGTAATGGGTGTTGGGGAGGGATAAAGAGAAAGCAGCACATACAAAGTGAAGTAACCTAGAGTACTGAGAAAGTGTGGAGCCCTCAAATCTTCAAATGAGT